AAAAAATTTTTTTTGGCATTATTTGTACAACCACATCACCTAAAGGCCTTCAAGCCAGACCAAGGTTTCAATTTGCTAGATGCCATACACATGGGTAATAAGAGGCAAATCACATTGAAGAGGTTGCCAAGCTACAAGGATGGAAGAGATTTTGAGAGGAAGCAGAGTAGAAATGCTACATTCAAGGTCATTTAGCACAGTGGTGGTAGCTGGGAATGAAACAGGTCTCCAGAGTGCCAGTCCAGTCCCCTCTGGATCAAGCTGCCTCTAAAAGCTGTACACAAGTAGATTTGATCTTGACCATCAAAACATGTTCTTTTGCTATTTAAATACTCCATACATTTTGGCCACTCAGTATTTGCTTTTAAAAAAAGACTAATTACTTTTGGACCAGGTACATCTTACGACCTGGTACACCTCCCACAAAGACCTATCTTGCCAAACAGACACTCTGTTGGAAATTTGGGATAAAACTCAAGATTTTCAGAAGGTAGGTGTCCAATTCCAGACAAAGCAATCAGCATTCAGTACATAATTCACAGCAGGGACAAAAAATCCTGAACTTTTGTATGCTGCTATTTCCAGTATTTCATTTTCACAGCCTCTGCTGGAAGCCCTCTCTCCAGAGTCACAAAGTTTTCTTGTTTTTAAAAAAATGCAAACATTTATTTTATGGGCTGAAATTTGGCACTTTTTTTTTTTTTTTTTTGCTTAAGGCCTTGCTGCACTCATCTCTTGTGCAAGGATTTTAGCAGAACAGGTAAAAATTGGGAAAAATACCCTTTAATAGAGGAGCCAGATGACCACAGCATTCACCAGGCTCCCTAGTCAGGGTTCACCCAATTTAGGAATAGCCCCTGCTCCCATCCATGGAAGTTATGCACCTAAATGCCTTGTCTATACAATCTCCTTTTACTAATGAAAGACATAGTCGGTTTTCTGCCTCTGAACCTTCCAGTGGGTTACTGCAATTCAGAAGGTGCGATATGTAAGCAGAAAAGAGAGTGCAGCTACACCAGAGGAGCTCTGTACTTTACTCATCGCACTTGTATTCCTAAACTTTCCCAAACAGGAAGAAAATATTAATTAGATTTTTTTCATAATGCATCTGCAGTTCTTCAAACAATACCTAAGGCAAACTCATCTGTTAACATGCCATTGCAGTCATGGTAATTCTGAGAACATGCTGGTCTCCTTCATTTCAATACACTGAACCAGAAAGGCTGGAACTGGCTGTGCTGGTGATGGTCACACAGAAAGCTCTCAAGCTTAGGTGATGTTTGGTCCTTTCTAAAACTCCAGCTCCAGCTGAATTCTTGAAATACAGTCTCTGCTATACCACCTCACAGGACAGATAGCATCCTTAGATACTGCTGTGTTGCAGTTACAGATGATGTTTTAGTCTTGTAGACAAAACCCTAGAATTTTAATCACTTTTGACTGCTTCTGACTCAGTCAGAGAGACTTTCACTTACAAGTCATGGGCTTAGCCTGAGGCTGAGGTGATGGTGATCGAAAGCTGCTTCTCACCCGCACGTTGTTGATGGCCAATCTGAAGTAAACTATCAATGCCTAGAAAACCTCTGCTGCGTGGGACTCTCAACATCTGCAAGCCAGAGACAAGAACTAACCAGATACAAAGCCTGAGAGAATCTTTCACTTTGAGGTTTGGCAGCATTGGGGTTGACTCACACTGGGGCACCAGACTTGCAGGACAACCTTCTCCCACCATACCTGCTGCTATGGGGAGGAAAGACCTCTTCTGCTCCATAAAGAATCTATGTTGAGAAAATGCTTTCCAAACTCATCACTTGAGATGGCAACACAGCTCTGCATGACAACAGCATCCTACCATCTCTACCTGAGGCATGGGAAGCAGCCAGCAGGACCTGGGTGACTCCTCTACCTTCACTTTCCAGTGCAGCTGGACTTGAATTAGGCAAGACCACTGGGTACAGGGAGCGTGCTTCTGACTGCAGGTGTCAAAACTCTCTCCCTGCCCTCTATTAATGGTTGGTAATTTTTAACTCATGGCAATGTCCTTCTCACCTACCTGGCACACTAAAAATATTACCAGAGTGATGCCCAGATAAGCAACACAGGGATGGTGCAGAGATTCATACTCATCAATGTCCCCAGCAGCAGGTCTGCTGGCCAAGGACAGTTGTCTGGGGTTGCTATTGGCCCACCCATTCTGAGAAGCATTATGGACTTTCCAAATCTACTGCAGAGTACAAATCCCTCTGCTCCAGAGGCACCTCCCAGTGCATTGTGTCTCATTGCAATCCTGAACTTGTACCGAAGATCGAAAGAGCTTCCCTTTGTGTGAATTTATGCCAATGGGTCGTGAATGTTAAATAAACTGCTTGTCATTACCCTGCTATCACTCCTACTCCAGTGAGAGAGGACTATGTTACAGTTTAGTTTATGTTGCTTTAAAACTATCCTGAAGATAATAAAAAAAAGAAACCTAACAATAAAATTTCTCTTATTCCAGAATAGGAATATCCCCAAGGGCAAGGTATACCTATAAAATTATTATAATGCTTTAACTGCATAAGCACAACTGGAAACGTCTTCTCTGAAAACAAGTCATAACTCTATTTTCCTTGCTGCAGCCATTATCCTGATAAATTTGGGAAGGTCAGCTAAGGCGTAATCCAATAAACGTGCTGATGTTCTGAGTAAGTACCTCACAATTCGCAGCCTAATCTATTATCCTACTATAAGACCATCAAATGACTCACCAGTTTTAATACTTAGTACAGATCAAACAAAGGAAAATATCAAAGCTTTGCGTTCTAGTTCCACCTTTCAAGGACTTGTTTGAGTACTCTTTAATTACAGCAGATGATACATTCAACTCTGGCATTTTCTTTCTCTAACAGCTATACTTAGAAGTTGCTGTAGCTGTAGTTTTCACAGGACATCATGTTATCCAATAAATCCTGAAAAGTCTGATAAAACCAAATAAAGAAACGTGGGATTTGGTCCCACAGATGAAATTCAGCTTCTTCTGTCCACTGGATCACACACAATGACTGTAACACACCAGAAAGCAGAAGCATCCCGTTGGTCCTGGGCACAGGGAACAAGCCTTCAGAGCCCCCACCTCAACTGTGGGCAAAAAGCCCTGGGAACAAGCATGTGCACTGAGAAACACACATCATCTTGTAGGCTGATGAATTTAAGAGGTCAAATCAAGTCCAAAACTTAGGCTATGCCTTCCAGTCCTCCAGAACTCAAGTACACCTGCAGAATTTTGCATTTGAACACCGTGATTTACCATTTTCAAAAAAAAACATATAGGTAAAAAATAAAAGTGAAAAAACAACATATTCACGGAACACCAGATCCCAAAGGAAGAAGTATCAGGAGAGAGTCAGCAGTACTGTCAGCAAACCTGCAAATGCTCAGCAAAGTGGTTACAGAAATTACATGTCTCTGCGGAGATGCTGGAGCTGACCGTGGGCATTGCCAAGGAAAATGGTGAGTACAAATCTCTTTCAGTTAACTCTCACAGTGTTTTGATACTATAAAGCATTTTCCAGTAACAGTGTGTGTTTGTATATGTTTGGCCTATACAAATAAAATGAACACAGGTTATTCGATACAGTGCCTGAGCACTATCACTGTTAAAACTTGTCTCATTTGTTTCAATAACAAAAAACACACTAGGAAAAGGACTGAATTTCATCTGGTTTACACTGTTGCTCTTTTTGACTGACTGACCCAAATCAGACTGTTTTTCAAGAACAAGCCCGTAAGCTTATGCGATAGCTGTGTACATGCTGCTAGAATGAAAGAAGAGTTTATCGGGAGGTGCCTGCAGAAGGGGCAGAAACCACACAGGCCACCACGACAGAGCCTCTGTGTGCAGATGGATGCTTTCAAAAGTGCATAAATCTAATTTAACTCTGCTTTTGCTAAGTTCACATACTTAAACAAGAGCAAATCTAAATGAACTCAAACTGCTACTTTAGTTCTGTTCCAAAGGTATTGGTTCTCAATTACTTAAAAGAAATGCTATAATTAAAAGAACCAAAAAAGCCACAAACTAAAGAGAAGGCCTATATGGATAATGGGTGTGCCCTGCATCACTCAGCTATCCCTTTGATACTTTTGACTTCTGGAGCTTTATTCAGGGCTGACATTGGTAAGACAAACTTGGCATACATATAGCTGCATACATACCTACAGATCTATATTCACTTAAGAAATGAGACCAGTCCTGAGATTAGGAAGCAAAGACAAGGCACAACGCAGCACAAACACATTTGGGATGATTTTATGAGATCTCAAGAACTGCCCTTTCTAAAGTGCCACATGGGTGTCACTGCTTCCTCTGATAAGTAGATGACATCTCACCAGAACTTAAATAGCTCCACTCAAGCACTACCTAGATGAGTGACAAAAATTAGCTGAGCTGCTGTCACCCCTGCAGTCCTTGTCTAGACACAGCAGAGTAAGTGCAAATTCCAGTCTGCCTTGCTGGGCTACAGCCACCCTGACAGCTGAGCTACGATCCAAGTCACTTCGTTGCCACTGATTAGACAACAAAAACAAAAGAAAACAACTTGAGACACAGATATCTGAATCCTTCTGGCAATTTGACAGATAAAAGTTAACAAAATAGAAAAAAAATCAAGAAAATAAAAGCGTAAAAGTAGTTGTGAACTGACCGGGTTTTGATTCACAAGCTATTGTTGGTGGGAAGTCGAGGTGAATGAAATGACATTTTTTGCAAGTATTTTTCTAACAATCTCCACGGCAATCTAATAACCAGGATCAGAGGCCTTTCACTAAGAGGTATGGCAGCTTTTGAGCTGGTTCCCCCTTCAGAGCAGCTGCGCCCTTCTCCCCATTGACAACCACATCTGGATGCTATCAGGAGGAGCTGGCATGCCTGCTCGCAACAAATACCAAGCAGTTAGCAAATTGACTCCAGCAGTCGATGCTGGCCACTTTCCCACTCTCTGTTTATGCAGTGTGACACTAACCTGTTGAGTCCGAGGTTTGTAAGGAGAGCTGCTCTCTAGGTCGGCCAGGATGCTGGTCAGAGAGTCGATTTCTGCATCTAAACTGGACCGCCTCTCTTCGAGCGTCTTGCCACCAGGATTCACCTTAAAGAAGAAAGAAGAGTTCCAGTTATTCAAACCACTTGGCCCGGCACATAGTTTCTTACTGTCCTCATAGAGCTGCTACCATGCCCAGTGGTAACTCTCAGGTTGCAGGGACAAACATGCCGAAATGCTATAGCTCTCTCCCAGAACCAGCAGCAAGCCTCCATCTCATAAGGATTTAGGCTGCTTTGGGGCTTTTCTTCATGTATTTCCCACAATGGTCCCATTGTGTTAAATTGACTTGGAGGATTATGCAACTCCGTGTGCAATCTGCTGCTGAGGTGAAGAGGCAGAACAATCCCTGCTACTGCAGATGGAGATGATGTATTTTAGAAGGATGCCTGGCTGGGGCAGCCAGAGCTGGGGACAGGCTTGGACCACCTGGATCCTGAGAGCATCTCTTTTGCCACATCCCCATCCCGGGCAAAGCACAAACAGAGCAGAGCTGCAAACCACAGTTGCCAGTGACTGGCCACCTGCACCTATTATTGCTTTAAATCAATTCATGGTAGCTGTACCTGTCTGATCCAACACTTCTTCACAATTTCCATCTAAAAAAATGAGCTCCTTCAAGGAGGAATGAAAAAGTTTGATTCATTTCTAGAGGATTCAAGGTGACGGGCATGATTTGCAACAAGCAGTCACAAAATAGCATAAATAAGGTCTTTGTGAAAAGGGTTATTATGCAGGAAAGCCCATGCTGAGAGCTAATACCAACCTACACCCAGGACCCTTTCTGATTCAATAGATCTTGCTTTACCTGTGCTTTCAAAACAGCCCAGCTCCACTTGTACCCAGACTTGTAGGGACAATCACTTGGAAAGGAAGAAACATGAATTTTTACCACGACTACTCACCTCCCAGGCCTCAGCACCACAGGAGATTATGTGATTCCCAAGCCACTGTTAAAGGGCTGCACTGTAATTCCTGCTAGAATAAGCATTTTCAAAGAGGACTCATTCACACGCTTTTGTTTTTAAAAAATCAGCCTAGTCCAAAACCTCTTGGAAGGACCTCTGTGCTGTACAGCCCAACCCAACAGCAGCACCTCCCAGCAGTGCACAAAGGCAGGTATGAAGTAGGAAATATCTCCCTCTTCAATGTTTTCAGTGCTTTGGAAATTAGGCAGCTCTATCAGGAAGGAGAAGTTCAGGAAAACAAGCTAAGGATCCCTACTAGGTACCACATAGGTGCCAGGACCTAGGCCCACTGAGCCAGCCCACATTTAGGGCATGCACTGAAACCAAAGTTCTTGAGTCAAGTGAAATATTATATATTGAAAGTATTTTCTCAACCTGAGTCATAGTCAATATTTTTCTTCTGTCCTTCCATGTCTGACTTATCTGCAAATCCCCCAGACAGAGTCTCTCCACGTACGTTCAACTACAGAGCTCAGTGCAGAAGAGCTTATTCACAGCTTCACTACTACAATAATAAAAATACTAAAGAATTACCTAACGACTCACCTAATTTCAGCTGTAAAGCCTGTTCAGACCATACCAGCACCTCCCCACAGACAATCCAGCTCTGTTTGCCTTCACTCTCACCAAGTTACTTAAATTTTCCAAGCCAAAAATTGGCCTTTTCCTTTGGCTCGCTGGCTGTTCCAGATAGTTTTTATTTAAATTTCATTTCAGGAGCATTTGATCATTACCTGTTTTACAGAACTCCCCAGTCATCAATCCAACACATAAATGGCAAATTGGTCAAAGAGAGACAGACTATGCAAAGCAGGCAGGCTCTGATCTGCCAAGCTTATACGTGCTGAGGCATTCATTAGTTCCTAATGATTATTAAATCTTATTGGATTACAATAAATTTGGCTTGACTAACAAGAAAATGGAAGCTCCATTGTGCTTTATGCAAGAACACGTCATTTAAAAGGCTGAGAGTCAGGTTAGAAACTACTTATAAACTCAATTCTTCTTGCTTATTTTTATTGTAGAGCCAAAGTTTTTCCATTCCAACTATCATTCAAAAAAATAAATACTTCTCACAGGAATTGCCCCAGACCGTTAGTCCTGGCTAGCTGTAGGCACCTGGAATTTTAGATCTGCAAAAGTACAATTTCCTTTCCACTATTAGTGCACTTCATGGTTCTTGTTTGGTTTTACTCCATCCTCCAGTTGTTGGACTATAACTACAGGGCATCCACAGGCTTCCCAGACATGAAAACTGTGATTACTCCACTCCAGTGAATTTTTAAGCTAAGCAGCCAAAAGCCAGCCTGGAAAGGGGGTGGGATACAAAGGGTGCCAAAGGCTCCAACATTTGAAGTGATAAATCAAGACAATGGCAGACCCAGGAATAAAACTGGAGTCCACACGCAGCCTGTTTGGTACCCTGACCCTAGAGAGAACGGATGGTGGCAGATGAGAAGATCAGCCAACTTAATTTCTGCTTCTTAGGATTTCTGGGCCATATTATTCCCAGGTTCTCATTGCCCTGAACAATTATGCAATATCTGACTAGCAAATGCTGCAGAACAAGTTGTAAGGTTGTAGAAGTTAACTGTCCTTAGGAAACCTAGAAAAATAAAATAGCATAGAAACATCTCTATTGATTCTGGGATCTGCAAAAATTTATTTATTCAATTAAAACATGATCAACATAGATTAAGAGCCCAATTCTACAAATGCTGGAGCACAATGCAGTATGACAATGCCAACTAATAATGCTATTGATGTGTATGAGGGCCTACTGGGGCAGGACTGGACTTCAGGTAAATTTAAGAAATGGTAATCCTTGCAAAGACAGGTTTCTGATAGCTCTCTCTTCCCCATCTCTACGAATCTTGCATTTTTCTCCACACAGCTTTCCAGATTAAACCGAGTGATTTGCTGTATGTGGAAACAGGAGAAGAATTTGCAACGCTAACTTTAGCAAGAGAGGGTTAAGTTATTTCTCTTCTCATGCTCTTCGTCATAATGTTGCTATAAAATTTTTATGATATTGCTCTGGAACCAAACCCAAGCACCAGGTCCCAAGGCACAACAGGTTTGCTCAGACACAGCTCTGCTCCGAGGAACTCGGGCTGGTTAAACTCACGACCTCGCAGATACAAACACCGGAATCAGCAAGAACTGCTAATTCTATTTCTGTCTGGATTTATGGCATTGTTGCAAACCTGTCACTTGCGCACCCTCTCTTTCAGCCAGCAGAATATGGAAAAATGGGTTTAAAAAGAAAAAGGATGCTATCTTTGGCCCGGCCAATGTGAGTTCGACAAAAAGCAAACATAAGCCAACCCCATCCAACAAATTACTCATGCCAGAGACTATCCACTCACGTGAACTTCTGCTACGCCTACACTCCTATCCCCTGGCTCAATCCCTGCTGTGAGGCAAAAGGGAGAAAAACAGCAGAGAGCTTCACTGGTTGGCTTGTTTGTCAGTCCCTGAATTCCTGGTGTGCAGTTCAGAGCAGCTGTGATGGTAATCCACTCCTGAGTCCCATCAACCCACTCTGTTCCAAGGAAAGCTGGCTTTCATTTTTCTAATCCTACTGCCCAACACCAGCCAGTGCCACAGGTCCCCCCACACCCTCCCAAGGGACATTCATTACAGAACATGCAGTGCAGAGGGCAACACAGGGCCTCAGAAGTTTGTTTCACTGTGCTAAAAAGACTGTAAGACTACTCATCGAGCTAGAAGACATGAAAAGCACAATGATTTCCCTAGAGGCCACCTTCTCCTACAGCCTAGATTACCTACTCTTACCACATTTTGCAGGTTACAGCAGAGGAACAAGAACACTTCTCATTTGTCCAAGCCAGCTCGCAATGGGGCTCAAAGTGAAGAATCTGGCTCCCAGATGTCTTTCCCAGCTCCTGCTCCAAATTCCTTTCCCTACCCAGACCCAGCTGCCTCTCTTTTATTCTCTGTTTTCCCCTCTGTCCATGCCCTGTTTGCTGCCACGCAGTGCTGCAGCTTGGGACAGTCAGCCCCTGGGATAAGAGATGAAATATGGGCTGCCAGGTTGGCCTCTGAGCCCTTGCAGGAAAGCACATCGATGCCTGGTGGTGCTGCTGTGTCAGGGAAAGATGGAGGGAAACTTTGCAGTAGTGACCTGCTGACTTACACGGACAGCAGGTTAGAAGTAACTCCAGAGTCCCACTGTATGTTTTCTACCAACACAAGGCAACCTCCAAACTGCTCAACGCTTTCAGAACATCAGGGCTTTGCTCACCACAGTGCAGTTTTCCAGCATCAAGATCCACCTTCTCCCCATCCACCTCAGTCTTGATCAAGTCTCCTCTGAAGCAGGTTGAGCGGAGCGCTTTTCATGAGCGTTGTGGCCAGCTCATCCTCTGAGCTGCATCCAGTAACGCAAGCTGTCACTACTGGGAAATGCAGTGCTGTTATAGATGTACAGACACGTCCAAGACAGCAGAGCTACAGCTAGACACACAACCTTCCTCGTAGCATCAGGCTCGCTCCGCACACCGTGCTATCACAAGTCACTGATAACCTCATAACTCACAAGTGGAAGAATGGAAATGAACACCATGGATATTAAGACAGGTCATAGCTAATGACTCGAAACGCACAGGCAGAGGGTTCCCACTGCCTTCTGTTCCTGGTACACTGGTTTCACTGGGAGCCTGAGGTGCTTGGGGAGCTTTCTTTGGGCTGCAACAGGTCAACACTGCATTTAAATATCAAAGAATGGAGAAAAGCAGGGAGCAGAAAAGCCCTTTGCAGCAAAGGTAGTCATGGGAAGGAAGGACTAAAGTAAACAAGATGAGCAAGGAAGAGGGGAATTTAGGAAAATCAGGTGTTGGGAGCAGGTAGATAGCAAGTAAGGACTTTTTCCCTGAAATACTTTATTGTCTTTTCCCCCAGTAAATGCGACTGAGCCACAAGCAAGGTAGCAGAGCTGATAAATTCAGTGGCTGCTGTCTGCTTCCACCAGGTTGCACCCACAGCAGCTGCCTGCCATGTTCTGCAGGCTGTTGAAATCCTCGGGTAAGCACTGAGGTGGTAGAAAGAGCAAATGAA